GATCCAATCTGCAGATAAGATAAGGGTTTACCCTTATCACTTAAAGGGATGTCTGATCCAAATATGATTTGGATCAGCAACTCCTAATGGGATTAGGAGCTGATCCCTTTAAGGTTACAAAAGAAGGAAGGGGCGGCAGCCTTTAGAAGACACACATTCACATCCTATTCAGAGCTGAAATCACAGAAGGAAGAATTAAGCAACTCTGCGAAATTCTTTCTTGCCGCCGCCTCACCTGCCAGTTCGACCTCTAGTTTAGTGGGAGAAATCAAGATTCGGTCTTGACATCAGTTCCTACTGATAGGAAGCTGCGCTCACATGCCATCCTGCTATTTCTTGCGAAGGATTAGGTTATTGGAAAGAACACTGCTGATTCTGCTCCATCCTACATTGCGCCATATTCAGTGGGAGCAGTCTTTGGATCATTCCTTGGGCGTGAACACCTTCGTTGGGAGATATTATTTCTCCGTATTAGGTATAATCTCTCCTACCGTTTTTGTTCAGATCTGGTTCGATTCATGGTTCAAGATTGATCCTTGAAAAATATGATTTTTCTAAAATAGGGAATGCGATTCCCAGTTGAGGGGTGAGAATTTTTTTTTGAAATTCGCCCACCTTATTCCGCAAGATTCGGGCATCCATACGATGGATCTTACAATTCCTTCAATCTGATGAAAGAGATGAAAAAAAAAAATATAAGTTGAGATTATACCTTTCAATGTGTTGATGTCTTTGACCTGGTTCAAATGAATATTGCTATCCCAACCATTGGCGTGCTTCCCGTACTTGCCAGTAATTACGGCAGTCCAGAGTGCATTTGGTTCCAAAGGGAATCGTCACAACCATTTGCTGAGAAGAGCTATGTTTCTTTTTTTCAAGTGACCTATTCCCAAACCACCACCCTCCTTAGGGTTGCAGACTTGAGACCAACGCACAAGGTGAGAACCCCTTTCCCCGCTTCCTTCCAAAGAAAATTTCTCTGAAGCTTATCTGACTGATTAGCTATTTTGTTGGGCATGTGTAAAGTAGAAAGGTAGTAAATGGGCAGGTTTTCCAGAGAAGTTCTTATGAGAGTGTGTTTCCCTCCTTTGGATTGATAATTCGTTTTCCATGTGGGCCAGCTTATTCTCAAAATCTCACATTTTTCTGGCACTGGTCCCAAAAGCTTTGATTCCTCGGATTCCCTCCAAGAGGCATCCCCAGATAGGAGATGAGGAGATTCTCTACTTTGCATCCCATAGTCTCCGTAAAAATATTTAGGGAGTGAGTACCAACTAGATTCAGACCTACAATACTGCTCTTAGAAAAATTAACTTGAAGTCCAGAAATCCATTCAAAGCAGGTGATAACCCTTTTCAGATTAGAAATAATGTCCTCATCAGCCTCTAAGAAAAGGATAATGTCGTCAACAAACTGGAGATGCGAAATCTTAGTGGCTTCTCGTCCAACTTCAAAACCTCTCAGCAGACCCAGAGAAATAGCCTTCTTCACCAGTTGGCTAAAAATTTCTGTGACAAGAGTAAAGAGCAGCGGGGAGAGGGGGCATCCTTTTCATAATCCCCTGCTGGCATTAAAATAGCCTTTTGGTTTCCCGTTAATTAGGATTGAGAAACAGGTGGAGATTATACGCTCCTCCACCCACTGAATCCGCTTTCTGTCAAAACCCATTAGCCTCATACTTTCCAGGAGACACTCCCAATCTACTTTGTCATATGCTTTTTCCAAGTCGAGCTTCGCAATCACTCCCGGTTTGCCATTCAATTTCCTCTCTTCTATGCATTCATTTGCTATCAGGATGCTATCAACAATTTGTTCCCCTTTGACAAATGCAAACTGATTTGGGGAAATGATTTCACCTAAAACTTTCTCCAATCTTTCAGCCAAAACCTTTGCTAAAATTTTGTACACACTCCCAACTAAGCTGATAGGTTTGAAATCTTTCAGACCAGTCCTTATTTAAGTTCATTGCAGTGAGGCTATGGGTCCTCTCCTGCTCCAAAGAAACGACAATAACACTCTTAGAGAGTCTTAAGGAAGTCCATAGTGAAGAGAGAAGAAAAGAAGTCTCATGGGGAAAATAGGAAGAAAGAAAGAGGAACATAAAAGGAGAAAGCACACTCATAGGTAGGTGAATTCTCTGCAAATATCTCCTTCAAATATGCCTTCTATCTCATATTGTGTAGTCTTCTTGTTCTCTCTTTCATTCAATTTCTAAGTTTTACTTATGAGAAAGAAGTAGAGGAAAAGAAACCATCCACAATCAAGTGCTTCTTCTCTCCTATACCTAAAGCCGTCTACAGCCTTGTTCCACAATGGCTGATTATGGCTCCCTACAAATGTGGATTTGAAGATTGAAGAAAAGAGGAACAAATAAAAATCATCTAATCTGATTGATTATGGTTCCCTGTCCACATGCCACATCTGGAAGACTGATGGTGTCATTATATTCAGTTGATTATGGCTTATTGTAAAGAAAAAGAAGTGAGAAGGAAATGTTTTTAGCAATCATCTTATTTGTACAGAACAAAGGGAAATGTATGTAAAATTCCTTAATTTATACTTTTGTATTTCTCATTCCTGAAAAGTTGAGATATGTAAAGAAATGTAAATGGATCTCTCTCTTCAAGAATTCTCTTTTCTAAACCATAAAAAAAATTCTCTTCCCTATTTTTCTAATTTGTTATGTACATTTATTTCTCAAGTCAGAACCAGAAGGTTTTCTCCACAGGGATGTAATTAAAAGGAACTATTTGTATGAGTCTCTGAGTGGGCCTTACTCCCCAAAAAATTAGAACTCAAATCATTCAATTAAGTGAATTATGTTGCATGAGAATTTCTTAAAATTTTACACTCAACATCCACCCATTGGTTTAATCCCTTTACATTGCTTTTATCCTTCATTTCACTGTTAATAGTCCCCTAAAACAGCTGGTTTCACTAGATTTCAGCCATGTTGTTAGCCAATCTATGTGTCCAAGTGTTGCCTAGGTGGTTGCCTTGTCACCTAGATGGGTTTCTTTTAATATAAACCATGTTGCCTTGTCACCTAGATGGGTGCCGTTTCCTTGTCAGTTCTGCAAAATCAAGTTCTAAGTCTAATTTAAGTTTTCACAACAGGATGACTTAATAATTTATATTGTTTGCTTGTGCAAACAAGTGGACATTTTACTGATCTATCAAAAATTGTGATGCTGGACATCTATTTGATGGATTTGGCACATATACCCACACTGTATTTTGTGTCATATTGAAACAGTTGCTTAAAAGCAAGGTTCAAAATTTTGTCATGTATTGGAGCATATCAGGCGTATTGTATTAATCATATCGGCCCTGCCCCAATATGCTAAATATTAAGTATTTGGTGTTGCCAATATTTTCACGGGGTAGGCCTTTCTAAGACCGGCTCCCTGTAAAATTTTGAAAAAAAAAACTTAAAAGAAAAGGGAGGGAGTAGATCAAATCAGGGTGTATCAATACTTTGAACCATGCTTCAAAGCAAAGGGTCTTGCTAACCTTGAGCCAAGAGGCCTTGCTATCACATTATCTAAGTTCTAACTACTATTTGCTTATATGATTTATATACATATTAATTTTTCTCAGTTATGCTACATCAGCCCACAAACAATTTTATAATTTTGTTTCCTTTTCAGTGAGTGGGTTCTTGGTAATCGAGAGGATCTGGTCAAGGATATTCTTGCAGAATTACGACCAGACATTGGTGAGGTAATATTCTGTTCAAATAGCTTTGTCTTGGTTCCTATATTTCCATTTTATTCTTTTCGTTATTTGTTTCCTTGTCTCCCCTAATGTATTCTTGTTAGGAATTAGGACACTCCAACCCTTTGTTGTTTTTGGAACATGATTGATGACAAACTTACTTCCCTCCTAATATAAATTTAACTGACCCTTATGTTATGCAAATTATATTTGATCTGATTATTATAATTAGATCCTAGATTCTTTCTTTTTACCTTCTACCATCCAGTCGGAGGTTGAGCCATTCTCTTCTTCTGGGGTGTGCGTTGACTAAAAGGTGGCATTATGCATGCTGTCTCACAGATCTGATGAAGGGGTGTCTTTGTTTAGTTGATTTGACTGATTAAAATGTGTAGTATACTGGTTAAAAATGTTAGTATGTTTTTTTGAGAAAATGTAACCAGAATTTATTAAGAAAAAAGGGGGGGATCAAGAGGAGATATACAAAGCAGGGGGGGGGGGACCCCTACAAGTTACAAAGGAGGAAGCTTGTTGCTGTAAAAATGTTAGTATGTTGCACTGATATTATTTGTCTGTAAGACTGTAACTAAAGTTTTCAATGTTATTCTATGCCCATCCCAACTTCTTCCTTATCAATTTGAACTACAGATATCATCCTAAAAAAATGAGCTACACAGGATGACTGGATGTATAGCTCAAAGTGAGAAGTCATCTGGGATGGGCATACCATTGAAAATTGTAGTTCTCTGTATTTGGTCTCTTTTGTTCCTATGTGCAGGTTTCCTTTTGCTTGTCAATGAATTATCTTCTTACAGAGAAAAAAATGCCGAGCTACAGAGGCATTGGTTCTCCACCCTCTACATGCATTGCATGTGCTATGGCTCTAAATCAAGGTTTTTAAAACCAACCTGGAAACAGAATCACTCTGGCCACCGGTTTCCAGGTCAGCGGTTTGATTGTCTGGGTTGAGCAGGTCAAAACAGTTAAGGTTACTGTTTAGGTTTTATTGGATCCTGACTATTGGATTAGCATATTAGATCAGGTTAGGAAGAAGAACCATATAAATACATTCTATTAGAGAAGAGACAGTGAGAAGGACGTTTGAGAAAGGAGGAGGCGGAGGCGGTGTCCACGATGGTTGCCCATTTGCCAGTTGTTGTTGAGGATTCTTGGTATTGACCACATGTTTTTCATGTCCACATAAGCCCTATACACTATAGGTTTTAGTTGTCTCAGTAATAAACGCACAAGTGGAACATATTCAGGACAAGTCGCAGAGCATTTTTGGTGCTTCCAAGTCTTTGCATCTTTTGAGATATGCTTGACAGAAGGAAATGATATCCTTTCTCCTGCAGGAATGGTGGACTTACGTTTGCATGGGACCTTCTGATCCTCAACCTAACTGGCACCTTGGGATGCGAGGCACTCAACACCGTGCAGTGATGTGGCGGGTATGGAAAGAAGGCGGAACAGGGTTTTTGTATTGGGGTGCTAACTGCTATGAGAAGGCAACTGTTGCTAGTGCTGAGGTGCTTTTCTAACCAGAGTCTGCCGCTGATAATTAGAAGTGAACATTTACATCTTCACTGTTATGTTTCACCTCTGCAGATTAGATTCAGGCGTGGCCTTCCTCCAGGTGATGGGGTCTTGTTTTATCCTGGTGAAGTATTCTCATTGCATCAACCAGTTGCTTCAGTTAGGCTAGAGCGGATTCTCAGTGGATTGCAGGTACTGATTTCTATAATTTATAGAATGTTTTTAGACTCATCTGCATGTAGATCTCTCGATTAGAGGCTATAGCACATTCTTATTGCTTGAACCCACAGTGTGCTATCATATTAGAGTAAGTGTGCATGTTCACTGTTTTGACGTCCAACCATTCATCATTTTAATAATAATTGAAACCATCTTTTGCAGTCACTTATGAATGGTTCTTATAGTTGTTTTTATTACCGCACAGGATATCGAGTATCTGAAGCTGTACAGTTCGATATATGGTAGAGACGAGGGGCTTGCCCTTTTGGAGAAAACAGGTGCATACCTGGGTCCAGAGCGTTACACGCTTGACCACATGCCTATTGATGTTATGCGAGGGGAGATCTTCTGCACATGCAGATCTTGAGCTGAATGTGTTTATAGAACTTGTTTTTGTTCATTGTTATTACTTTTCCTTTTTTAGCTTATACGGATCTAATGCTATTATTGGACAACAGCTTGTTGAAATAGAAAAGCTGAACGCATTGAATCCTCCTGTAAGCACGCTTAGGATTGCCATACCCATACTTATTGCTTGGTTTCATTGTTGAGCCATCGATTCTCTTTTAACAAGGATCTGGGCGAAAGTCGCAAAAGCAACACAGGGATTCAAACCCTTGGCCTTTTCTTTGTGCTCTCTTACAAGCAAGGTTCAAAATATCGATATGCCTGATATGCCGGTACGGGTGTATCGGGCAAATCGATACTGCATTTTATTGCTTTTTTTTTATTTTTTTGCAACCGATTCAGGGGGGTCGGTTTAGGGCTCCACCCCCTGAACCGGTCAGACCCCCCATACACCCACTGTAAGGCGTATCGGAGGGGTCCCAGAACAATACGTATCGGTTGATGTGTCGATATTTTGAACCTTGCTTACAAGAAGTCAAGAATTTTTTTTTTCGGTGAAACTAGTGCAAATTCTGGTTTAATTTTGTTTTGGATTTGACTTTATTCTGTTCTAGGTCTTATTTTACTTCATTTGTATTGCAAATTGCGCAAAATATGGTAGAATTTGAAAAAAAAAATCAGAATTTGCACTACCATAGTTTTGTTTGCACTGCAACCAAACGCAGTCTAATTAGCAAAAATCTTTCTTCGTCATCACTGTTRGGGATGGCGATTCCCTCGTGTAGGGGGCTACAAATGGTATCTGATTGTTCAAATCCTTGTAGGGGTGAACCGAATGTAATTGGATCAAAAAATGGATGCACCCCTATCCAATATGCTTATGTATATTTGAAATTTAGGTTTAAGTTTCATACCAATAATTTTCAATTCAATCTGTTCATAAAATATAATGTTAAAGTCTTTTTTTGAGTTCACTTGATTGATAATAAAATAACATTTTGATCATTTTGGCAATTTTAGTTTAATTTATTTAAACAATTTAATATCCAATTATAATTTGTATTCCGTTTGAAGTCCTACTCTCATGCACCACATTACTTTATCGTCTCAAATGATAAATGCATTCATACTGTGTGAACTGGTTTCTGCTAATCGGATATTGCAGTTGCAGATACCCTTAACTCAAGCCCAACTACATCTCGGGATATGGTCCCCTGCATCCTTTCTATGTACGTTTTCCTTGAGAATCAAACTGCAAAGGACGTAGTCGAGTAGTAGACAAGAACTCTTGCTTTCCGCCCAAGATAGCTATCGCCATCGCGGCCTGATTTCCCTTCCAAAGTCCAAACTCCCTTGAGACAGAGGGATGATCTCCTCAAAATCTTCGCAGACAGACTATTTGCTTATGCTCTCTCTTCTCTTGAAATGGGGCCTTGGGTTCAGTGGTAACCTGACCTTTCAATGGTTTCAGTAGCTGCATTAGTGCCCTTCCCCCATTGGCTTGGATCGAGTGACCATCTGGTCCATCTCCATCTCGGCTACTGGGTCGTCGGTAGTTGAGCAGTACGTTCTTTACAAGTATAATTACGATTTCTTACTTCTGAAAACGACTTTGTGTGAGGACAAAACTTTGGCTGGTTTCACATTCGCAATTTCGTACTTGTGTGATTCAGATTTCAGACACTCAATTGAGTGAACAATTGAACATAGTAATAGAGGTTCGAGTCGCGACCCACTGGGTTTCAACTTTCAATTGCCTACAGCATAAAGTGGCGACAAGAGGCCAAGATTCACTATTTTCTGATTCCATCATCACATTATATTGTACTTAAATAGATGGGCTGCCTGAACTGGGACTGGATTATACATAGAATTTAGATGGGCGATTCCCTGAAACTCTGAAAGCCCCAGAAATCGTACTTGTCACTAGTCAATGTTATGGGGTTTGTTTTTTCCAGTTCAACTAGTTATTGTTGTTCATGTTTTTTTGCTCTCTAATTAATGGGTTTAAATGAATTTCCACATGGCCCACACGCATTATTAGTTCTTATTTTGGAACTCTGTGAATGGTTAACTCTTTTGCTTCCTCTAAATTAGTGAAGCTTGGATAATCACCCTGCTCATTGAATGCACTTGGAAATTCTTGAGAGTTCAACTGGGAAGAAAATTTGAATTGAAGTTTTAATTACCAGCTGTTTCTTTTGTGACTGAAAAGAAGGGTTTTGGCTTCATTAACCCGGCAACGATGAGGTTCTGAGATCTGATGCGGATTGTCTGGTTGATTTACCCTTCTCTCTTGTGAAAACAAGGAGAGTTTTGGCTTTTTGGGGCCCGTTGTAAATTGTTTCTTGCTTGTGCAATCTCCTGTGAGTAGAGGTGTCAGATGTCAACGGATCTTTTTGGGTTGATAAATCATAATCAATTTGGACGGATTAGATGGACCAATAAGATATATTGAATTGAACCAATCCAGACTTAATAATCCATCCGTAATGGGTTTATATTGGATTGAGCTGGGTTGAATCGTTAAGATAAGAATACAGGTGTCAATGGACTGGGTGTGGGTTCGAACCAATCTAAATTAAAACCAATTTGAGACATTGAATTAGACAGATCCAAAATGGTCTACAGTATTGATCTCCATCTGTAATTAACTCATATTGGACAGGGTTGGGTTGGACCAAATCCGGTCCAATGGACACCCCTAGAGTGAGTAGGTCGAACTGCAGATGCAGATGTCCAAGAAGAACCCACCTGCGCAGCAGCCAGCAGGTGACACCCATTCTTGTCATGCGCTCATGCTGTCTGCCAAAGTCCGAACTGAACAGGGGGGATCCAACTTTCTGTTATCAGCTAATGTGGTAGATCTCACATTCTCCCTGGACCCTGGTGGGGGGGTCTAGCTATCTGGATTGGGATTTGCATTTGGTGGGTTGCTTAACAAGGTTTACCAGATAAGATCAATGATGTACAGGTATGGCTTGTAATAAATAGAACAATAATGGAACATTCAATTTCACATGTTGGAAGCAAGGGAGCTCGGCCTCTTACGTAGTTGACTGAGCCTCTCTCTTCTCTCCAATTTTAGCCCACTTCTCTGTTTCACCTTCCTATGTATTAAATAGCTACAGTGTATATGGATATGGATTACACACTACAGGGCCAAATCTCAGTCTCAGAACAGCTTTCTACTGTTTCTAATTTACCTGCTTACATTTACTGTTTTTAGCTAAAAACGGTGAACTTTTCTTCTGCGTTTGGTCCGATCGAGATGATTGTTGTTGGAGAGAAGAGAAAAAAGAATAAGAATTGTGCAGCTTTCCCATGTCCTGATTTCTGCTCTTGGGATTTGGGGAAGGTATAATTTTAGTCTTTCCATGATTCACGATGCATTAACTACATTACCATGAGAAAGGGCTCTAGGGTTTCGGCCTTGAAGAAGACCTACAAGCTTGATTCAATAATCGTGACAGATGTCTGAATTTCCTACTGGAAATGTTGAATCCCCATCTGGCCATGATGGGAAGAAATTTTGTTGGAGGATTGGAGGATTTTAATTTCATGGGAGGAGGACACAGACCTCTTTGGTCAGATGGAATATTTCCAACACCCACTTTGTGTCCTCATTGAAACACTCGTTTACAGTTCGGCTTTTGTCCGGGTCCTGGGGATGACCTAATCTGTATGTACCCGATGATGATATCATCATTTCCGGTATAATTACCGGGAGATATTTTCAATACATGGCGGAATGTGTTATGGGACGTTGTGGGGTGCAGATCTTAACTTTTTAAGTGTCTGAAATATGAATTAGTTTCACTAGAAAGTTGATTTCTTATATCAACTATAATATTTTTCAGCTTTTTGGGATTTTTACCAAATATGACTTCATGGAGTAGACCACTTGGTCAAACATGTTCTAACACCTTCTTAAGGAATTATTCAAATCAGGGGTTAGAGAATCCAATGAAAATTTGAATCATGCATTTCTATCAGATCAGATTCAGATATATCTCAATTTGAATCTGATCTAATCCATTTACATCTCTATTGAGGATGAAATCTAAAAAGAAAATTAAGGATTTCAAAATAAACCTAGGTGTCTATTTCTAGGAATTCAGGTACTCAAATGTCACATTTGAAAGTTCATGGTACTTATTTGTCACTACTCGCAAAGTACAGGGTACTCCAGTGTTGCATTTGAAAGTTCAGTGTATTTATCTGTTACTACCTACAAAGTACAGGGTACTCAAGGGTTGCATTTGAAAATGGTCTAAAAACATGAAAAGAGTATTTTTGAGATTTTGGAATGTTTAAAGTTGCATGTAATTTCACATGATATGAATAACTGATAGAATACTAATGGTTGGACTGAGTGTCTACAAGGTATTCAAGTATTACACTTGAAAGTTGAGGGTACCTATATGTCGATACCCACAAAGTATAAGGTATTAATTTACCCTAAAATAAAATTTTATAAAAGAATTAAAAAAAAAAGAAAAAGCAAAAAATAGAAGGAAAGGGAAAGGTTCAAAAAATAACAACTACACCAATAGAAAAACAGCCCACTTAGACAACAACTTTATCAGAAAAGCTATACAACATAAAACAAAAATCAGTATAGCCCATAGATTTTCCAAAACACTAAAAACCAGCCAAGAAAGAAAGTCCCATAAACTTCTGCCTCAACGTTCTCTTCCCCAACCTCTCAAGTCTTTTTCATGATATACGACAGCATATATAGTGTTTACTAAACTTTTCATTTATTAGATAAATATTTGTTTCAAATTGTTATTTGATAGGCTTATTTATCTGATAAACATTTGCATCGAATTACATGTAAATTAACCTTTAGGTGAAGCTTTATTTTAATGTTTCTTCCGATATAAAATTATTTATTTACTGTTCTGCTTATATGGCCTAATGGCACCTAACTGTCAACAAACAYTAAAAAAATATTTTCCAATCACTTTTTCTCAATTTTAAAGTCAAATCAAATATAAACATTTATTTAATAAACGAAAGCCATATTAAACATCCCCTTATTTTATCTGAAAAGATTCTTATTTTCGCTGAACAGTCATGTTGATTTGGAAAACATTGCTGGTTGTTGGCTTGGCTATCAAGTGAAATAATCATGGAGGCACAATCAGGAGGGACCCTTTTTGTCTACTGTGACCAGCTATAATTAAATTAAATTTGTACAT